AGCCCGCAGAAGTGTCATCGACAACGGCGGTAATGGCACTTGTTTCGGTGCCTGAAGCGGTGCTGGCCTTGAGTATTGTCGGTTTGTCCTCCGTAAGGGGGGTGGCAGCCGTGGCAATGCGGCATCCGCTGCCATCCACAGCTGCGCCAGTGGGATTATCGACGGCATCCATGGTGACTACTTGTGCTCTTCCAAGCTTTAAACACAACACTTTACGCGCAGTTGTGGCTGGTCAAGCTCCTTGTAAGTCTCAGACCGGCGGCAAATGAAGGCATTTTAAAGTGAGAGGCTGTTTTGGTTTCACTTCCAAAGCTCCACGCGGTAAAATTCGCGCCTGTCTTTTTGGGCGTCTTGTACTCCCTGGAATGAAACTAGTAATTCTTATAACATAAACCACAGTGTAATCTAATATATACATACATGTGCCCTGACAGGGGGCTGATGATGTGCTTACAGGCCGTGGTCTGCTCTTTGTCCAGCAGATTCATTGGGCTCATTATGTCCTTGACACTTCGTTACCTTACCTGTCAGGTACTCGCCGACGGGGTGTCGCCAGACACCGCCCCTGCAGTGCACATCGTGCTGTTGACCTCACCCAAGAAAACGACCATGAAGGTAGGCATCTTGGGCCCAGATGGAACTAGAAGGCGTACCGTCATACACTGACCTTGCTTGTGCACCTGGCATGCAGCATCCAGGACTACTCACCCATAAGTTGCCATCTAAAGTTATTTGTCCCTTATGAACTAGGAAGATCAGAATGAAGGACTGTCACCCCTCCCTCCCTCGGGCTGCAGGAGATGAGGAAGGCAGTAGCTGTGACTTGGTACATGCCTTTCTGGGAGCTTAAGGAGCTGCTTGACTGCCGCAGGTGCTGGGTGTGGGACGGGTGGTGTGGGAGCTAGGCCCTTAACTAAACTGCACTTGTTGCCAATTGTCCCGCGTGTAAACAGTAAAAGTTGTTACTTGCTTTCCCTCGCACCATAAATGTGCCCGCAGCAAGATGTATAGTGCAGTGCCAGAGGCGACTGTGGAGGAACTCTACACTTACTATGGCGGTGTAGCACGGTATGTGCTTGAGCAGCCGTTGAAGAACCCCAACTGGATGTTGTCTAAGCTGCAGGAGCCACTGATCAGCACCATAGATGCAAGCAACGTTTCTCAGGTGAAGCACTGTAGTGTAGCTAGTCCTCTGTCTGAGCCTCATGTCATTTAAGGTCGTTGCCCAGTTTTCGCCTGCATTGCCTGAGTTTTGATGTTGATGATCCTTCTATCCAGTGGAAACTGATTCTGTATGTTTGCATTGCTGCTGAGCTCTTGTGTCCTTCCATGTTCATATTGCTGCAGATATCTCGTTTCTTGGCAAGTTGTACCTGCCTTTCACCTGTAACACACCTATGACCTGGCCTGCCTCCCTGGTTGCTCCCATCACGATAGGTTCGGTTGGCCATTGCGTGATCCATATTGTGGTTGACCACAAGTTCGAGGTGCAGTACCTAAACTTTGCTACCAAATGGGTGGCTGTCGAGTTTGCCAAACGGGCATGGAAATGTGAAAGGGGGGAATTGATATCTCTGCTAAATGGCAGCGAAGGTGTTAAAGGGCTACCTCTTTGAGGCAGTCATGCATGCTGCACTGGCGACTGGCGGCAAGTTCGATGTGTTGCCATTGGACCCGAAGACTCTGGAGCGGGGCAAGGAGGAGAAGCTGGATATCCCGGAATGCAAGCAGTATAACATCTTCACAGACAATGAGGTCCATGGTATGATGAGCACTAAGATGGACACATACTTGAGGCCCAAGTCCTCCAACTTCCCCGTCATTGATGCTCTTATGGTGCTGGCAATGTACCTTTTCCAGATGACTGTGTCGGCTATGAAGGAAATTAATGCTGATGACCTCGAAGACGTGTTCAAGCGACTCGGCATCTCTGCTCCGGGCCAGGAGGGCCGCCAACCCAGCCTTTACTTTGTGGTGGATCCTAGCATCTACAACAAGTTTAAGGTGCGGGCAGGAACGAAGAAGAGGAAGGCCTGTGAGGAGCGAGAGGCTGCCTGGCCGCCCGACCCCAAAAAGCATGAGCGGTCAGCCAACACCCGGTTGTACATTCTGCGTGGCTGTAGCAGTTGCTCACCCTGGCGGGTCGACTGGATAAGCGGAAACCTGGTGTTGGCTGTCCTCGCCGGAGTAGGAATAAGTCCAACCCAGCGGCAAGCACTAGCGTACATAGACATGGTATGAAACAATCAGAGACGGCGGCAGTGGAGTCTTGAACTCCGAACACCTAGTAGATGTGATACGTCAGTGTCTGGCCAGAGCACCCCGCCCGGGTAGCTTATATCTCGGCCTACCTGCCGGAGATTCCCTACCACGGTCTTGCCGTACTAGGATAATGTTGGTGGGGCCCAGGGCCCCAGCCCGTTAGGTTTGCTTACGAACAACTGTCATGTTCGATGCATGTGACGTGGCTCGTAACATGTACAAAACTTGAGTCGAATCATGAACGAATTAACAATTATTGTTAAAAGTAATCGTTGAAATATTCTAAGGGAAATGTAGCTTGCTACAGTGGCATTGATAGCATTAAGTGAAGGTGTCATGCACATGTACTAAGACCTGCACAGCAGCACCTGATGCATCCTCACCGCAACAATTGTTGTGCTGGGTGAAGGGACAGCTTTGTGGACACCTTGGACCTATGGCCACGATCTTCATGTTTTGTTGAGCTACTGTGTGCGAGCTACTGTCCTTATTGATGCAGTGGTAGTAGCCCCTTTCGTTAGCCATGGAATGCTGCTGATGTCAATTGCTAGTTGGTTAGGCAAGCTGCGGGGTTGCCCAAATAGGCAATCTGGTGCAGTTTCTGAGGGAAGTGTCTGCTAGGTGTTTTAGTATGTACTGTTGTGTTGGGTTGGGCAGATGAGTAAAAGTGTGCACATGTTCAGATGGCTGCTGATGACTGGCAGTATGTAGGTATCAAAATGGCATGTAATGTAGTGTTACAGAGTGGGAGGCTTCTGGGCCACTTTATCACATTGTCAGTTCTACGATTTATCACCTTATAGCACCAAATGGCATGTGTCACTGCATTTTTTTACTGGTGTAACCAGTACTTGCCAGTATCTAATCTATTGTATCACAGCGGATGAATATTCCTCATCCTCTGACCCTAGAGAATGCATAGGTTCCGAACTGTTCTGAACCATGTCACCCCAACAGTCAGC